AAGGGTAGGCTTAACAAGTGGCTTGGAAAGTGAAAAGATCAAGAAAGGAGCAAATTAAGTAAAAAGCTACTGGTAGGTTTGCTCATAAAACTACCAGTAGGTTTTACACACTAGAGTTGGACCTATTGGATCATCTGCCAAACCTACCGGAAGGTTTTGCTTGCTAGAACAAAACCTACTGGTAGGTTTTGCTGAAAAATGCCAGAACATGCAACTCAAACAAGCAATATAGAGAGAGAAGCTCAAGGAAGAAGCATAGTTTTAGAGAGAGGTTGATTTTTACATTTTCTCACCCACTTCACTTGTAGTAAGTTGCAATACTCTTGTAATCTTCATTTCTTGCACCTTAATCTCATTTATTTCAAGTGTATTTCAAGTTTAGTTATGTATTCTTGAATCTACCATGTTTACATTTGATTTTTTCATTTCAAGCATTTTAGTTGGGTATAAAATGCACTTATCTTTGTAGTTTAGCTTTTCTTTGCATTAATACAAGTTTTAATCTTCATTTCTTTACCATGTATCTTTACATCATGCATGTGTTTGCTTTCATTATGAGTAGCTAAGTTTTAGTTAGCTAATCCAAGGGAGATTTCCCTTTGGGTATGCTAAATCAACTCTCCTCCATTCTTCTTCGTAGTGTAAGGTACTTGATTTGACTAGGTTGAGTGCGGACGTAGTTATGAGCTCTTGATATACCGTAGACATATCACGGTGTTTGCTTGAGCCTACACCTCCACATTAGTTCCTCACATCCTACGAATCAACCAAGCACTGAGACACCATTGGTAGAATGTTTTGAGTTGATTTGGCATTCCCATTCGAATGACCCCTTCGGATTAGCCAACCTTGTTTTCATTACATTTTTATCAAAAACTTCACTCACCAAAACACAAACTTACAAGATTTTACACTTTTCATTTCTTTACAAAATCACCTTCACAACAATTCAACCTTCTTTCCCTGAGGAGACAACCTTGGAATACTCATTCCAAGTAAAACATGAAATTTGCAAGTCTCTCTACGCTTGGAGAGAAATTTTGCACACACGCACACATTTTCATTCACACACACACATTGTTTTCCATTTATGGCATCGAACCCAAGGGAGAGTGACACTCACCTACACACAAAAGTCATATATACATTCGAGGGTTCATGTTTAGAGATTAGGGTGAAAGCGACCAAGCAACTTGCATCAACCATAAGCATAACCTAAGTTACACATTAGGGATATAAAGTATAAAATATTAAAGGAAAGTATCATCCATCAATTAAGGTAGGTATATAACAATGAAGTATAAACTGAAAATGCAACTATGATAACTCAAGCAATATTACACAAATACTTCTCCCCTTACTAAAGAGCTAATGAAAACCTACCCAATCTTCATAGTCATAGATAACATAAAAAAGTGGGTGATATTCATTCATCCATGCAAGATTGAAAATTACAATACAAAACAATAAAACATAAACAAAACTCCTAACTCTTCCCCAATATTAAATTGAAACACTGCCACCTAGGCACGCTAGGAAAAGTGAGAAAGGTTCAACCCTCCAAATAAGAGGAGGTCTTCAAAAAATGTAGAAAAAAGAGTTTGGCTTGGGGAAGCCTTTTTTGTTTTTTTTTTTTTTTTGAAGGCAAAAATCTTCCATTGGGTGGCAGCTTGCATGGAGGACCAATAGGAGAGGAGGCAGCCAAGACTGACCAATGAAAGAAGAGCTGGTAAGTCGGTTTAACCACTGTCCGGACGCCAGCTTCCAACATCCGAACGGTGGTCTTCCATTGGAATTCAACAATTTTTCCTTGGGTCTTGTGCGGGTGCAAGGCCCCATCAGTCTGATGGTGCAAGGCCATCCGGATGCTGGTAGAATGGCTTCAATGTTTTTCTTTTTACACCTTAGCCCCTTAACTTTCCAAATTTGCTTTTTAGACCTTGTCATTTTAAAATAATATGTTTTCATCCATTGGTACATATCATTTAACTTTTAGCCCTTTAACTATTTAACTAAAGTAATGAACCCTTCAACTTTTATAAACAATGTAATATTTTAGTGTTAATCACTCCATTTGTTTGGATCTCTGAATCACTGAAACCCAAATGGTATAGCTCCTGTCTTATAAACTAGCAAATAAAATCATTAATTTAGCAAGTAAAAGGGGAATACATCCAAAAAATGGAGCTCTAGCTAGGTTGATTCTAAAGGTGACAATTTTAACTCATTACCTATCAACTCGCCCATAAATAAATGAGCTGGGTAACTATATTAATTAATATGAGTTCTAAATGAGTTATGTAATATAATTCATTTTAATTAAGCGAGTTAAGATAAATTATAAATGTATACTCTTTCGATTGAGTATTTATCTTTCTATTAAATAACACAAGTAATAAAATCAAATAAATATACTAAATATACTAAAAAATACACACTCCCCAAAAGTACACACACATACAATAATATACCAAAATACACACATAATACATCAAAAGTACGTACACTAGTACACCCAACCAAACCCAAGACATGTGTGTATTTCGGTAAATAGTATGTGTGTATTTTGGTAAATAGTGTATGTGTGAATTTTGGTGAATAGTGTTTGTGTGTATATTTTGGCATTTTATTAAATGTATGTTTTTTGCGTGTTAGTATGTGTGTAGTTTTGATGTATTAATGTATTTTTTACATTTTAGTATGTGTGTATTTTTAGTATATTAGTATATTTTTTGATGCATTAGTATGTATTCATATTAAAAATTTTAAGAGAAAATTTCAGTTACATCGCCTCTAGTTTACCGTAACTTTAACAACATTCCCTTTATTATCTAAAACATTATCGACATCCCTTCTAATTTATATTTAAACATCACTAATATCCCCTACCGTTAAACCATCATTTATAAAAAAAAAAAATTCAAAATACCAAAATTACACCTATATGAACCTCAAACAATCTTACATAAAATTTCATTAAAATTTGAGCCAATTAAAATTAATTTTTTTACATATTAAAATTTAAATTGATTAAAATTCATTTTTCTACTTATTAAAATTGAAGCCAATTAAAATTCTGTTTTTTATGTATTGAGCTCTACAAGAGCTATTATTTGCTTCGAAATGATTAAAATTTATATTTTTCCTTATTAAAATTCGTGTTAATAAAATTTGATTCACACTGATTAAAATTTATATTTTACGTATTACAAAAATTTGAACCAATTAAAATTCAATGCTAGTTGATTAAAATTTAATTCAAGCCAATTAAAAATAAATTTTAATCTGTTTGAATATAATTTTAATCGATTCAAATTTTAATACATAAAAAAACATAATTTTTAATCAATTTGAATTTTAACATAAAAAAAAAATTTAATTAATTTGAATTGAGTTTTAATCGAACCAAATTTTTATAAGTAAAAACTCTTGAAAAATTAGAGGAAATTTCATTAAAGATATGTCTATCTAAAAAGATGTATGAAATTTTGCTTAAAATATATTTAACACTTTTAATCGGATAGTAGGTGTCAACAAAAATTCAGAAAATAAAAAAGATGCCCTTGCAAATAGGATCACTATAAGGGATATGACTAACATATTCTCAAATATTAATTATTTTACGAATTAATAAATTTAACCCAACTCATTATACCATTATAACCCATTTATTAAACGGATTAAAAATAAATTAAATTTATTTTACATTCAGCCCATCTTGAACCAACACAAACCTGCTCACTTGCCACCTCTAAATTTACGTCAGTGGCATCAACACAAACTTGTGGCTCATGACAGTAATTATCTCTAAAGTACCCATTAGGTTACACAATCTGCATACTAAACAGGAATTTTCTGAACTAGCAGAAGGGATAATGCTCTTAATTAGAGAACGAAATTAGAGCATCAATGAGAAAATAAAACATGCACAAACCATGGCCATGTTTGGTTAGCTTTTCAAAAATTATTTTTTGTTCTCAAAATTTTAAAAACATTCAAAACCTCTTTGTTTAACATTTTTGTTTTCAAAATTTTCAGAAAAAATGAAATATGATTCAAAAAAACAAAAAACAAGAAAAATAATTTTAGACTTTAATGAAATTTGTCCTTCGGGTATCCTTAACAACAAATTTCTTTATTCTTTTTTTTTTTTACTTCTTCCTCTCTCATATTATATTTTAATATATATTATATAATAGTATATATAATATAATATAATATACATCTTATAATATATATTATTATTATATAATACATTATCTTATATTATAATATTATATTATATTAGACAATATATATTATATTTTAAAGTTTGACTTATTAAATTTTTTTCTGAAATTATCTATCTAAAAATAACTTTTTATATTTTTTTATTAATATTTGAATTACTGTTCAAACATATATTTAAACTGTCCAAACATATTTTACTATTTTCTGTACTATAAAATTATTTTTAAAATCATCTAACCCAACAACTTTTTTATCTAAAAAAATATCAAAACTATTTTCTTAAAACTCTTCTCAAAAATTATTTTTAAATACTATATTTTAAAACACAGACCAAACAAGGCCCAGCTCTTTGTAAGCCGGAAAATGCAAGTTTCCTGTACGTTTTCAACATAGATATGACCAAAACCAAAAACCACAAGGAACTGCCCAATGAAGTTCATTACTAAAAATCCAAACCGTCCCTAAACTGCTAAATCCCGTGATCCAACACTATCAAAACTTCTGAAAATAAACAAAAACTAAAAACTTGGCAGAAAACAAACATGGTAAATAAAGACCCTTCAGTCAAAGAGTGAGAATCCCATATCCTCGTCACTCTCCTCTTTCTCTTCTTTTTTCTCCTCAGCCGGAGGTGCTTCAGCAGCTGCTGCCCCACCTGCAGGAGCTGCAGCAGCAGCAGCTCCACCAGCTCCAATGAAACCACCACCACCACCGCCGCCTCCAATAATCACCTAAATTGAACAGACAATTAAATTAGGTTCAACTAGTACACAGCTGCCATCTTGAGTCACATGCCTAAAGTTCAACAAGCACTGACAAACACCAGCAAGCAAAAACGACATCCATATTATAGGAGCTTTGGACACATACTGCAGGTTCACCAAAAGTGTTGTCAAAAAGAAGCCAAGACATTCAACACATACAACACAATTTAAGCCAGATCATGATGTTGGTTTCTCATTCCGGGATCCTCTACTGTAATACATTTCCTTAATTCTAGATCACCTGTTAATGGAAACAAGCCACCTAAATAGAGTATGGTTACAACTTTTTTTGATAGAAAACAAAACAACTTTATTGATTTAAAATGATAAAAAAAAATAGAGATACATCAAAAAACACTATTATGGATGGACAAGATGCTCAACCAAGAAGTGAAAAAAATACAAATCTCAACCAATCAAATTATGTATCACACGAGGCCTTCCAATCCGCTAAAATATAAAAAAGCCTTCATAACGGAAGCCCATAACAATGTCAAAAAATAGGTGTGATCCCATAAAAACCTTCCCTTCCATTCTCTTCTACTCTCAAAAATCTTAAAAGAGTTCTTTTCCAACCATATTTTACCCATATGATGGCAAGAAAAACATAATACCAAAGGGTCATTGCTTTATTATGTCTTCCTAACCCTCGAAACCCTCCATCAACGTTGTTGACAATGTCCTAGGAATCACCCATTTCAAACCAACTGCTTGATATAGTTTGGACCTTAAGAATGAAGCAATAGGGCAATGTAAGAACAAATGATCAATAGTCTTACTAACACATGCACACATGACACACTACTGTGGAGAAATGCAGAGAAATGACCTTCTTTAAGTACATCATTTGTATTTATCTTATACCATGAGCTATAGTTCATGCATAAACTTGCACCTTGGTAAGGGCACCTTAATTTTCCATATCATCACAGAGTGATAAAACATAGAGTGTGAAGAATTATCAATTAATAACCCCGAAGACTCAAGACACCACTTTATTTTATCACTTTAACTCATGACACAACCTAACCTCATTAATCAAAGATAGTAATGACCCCAATTCCGTAAAATCTCTATCATTAATAATTTCTACGAAATTAAAAATTTCAAGAAACTGATTGATTAGAATAATGAAACATCAAAGCAATAGAACACTATGAGAACAAAATAAATGATAAAGATGGGAAACATACAAGAAAAAGACGAGGATCTCACCCAAATATCCTCCCAAAAGTGAATTCTCACCTCATTGCACACCATGAATGTAACATACTAAGAGAACTTCGAAAGTCCCTGAGAAATAAACTTCCATGGGCATCGATAATTTCCCTTGTCAATCTTTTTAGCATCTCGTCTATTGGCCTTTAATCCATATTTACTCTTAATAACCGAATACCATAGAGAATTTGCTCCAATGGGAATCTCCACAACCATTTGCCAAGGCTATATTTCTTGCATTCAAATTTCACACTGCAAGGTTGCCTTCAACTTTTGTTCTTGAGATAACCTATCAATCCACTAAATGATCCTTTTTTCCCTCACCACTTACGTCCCACAAAAAATCCCTCATCATTTTCTCAATTGTTATTGTAATCTTTCTTGACATTTTAAAGAGAGAAAAAAAGTAAGTAGGTGTACTAGCCATAATTGATTGTACCAATGTTAATCTACCCCCTCTAGAAATATAAGCTCTCTTCCATCCATCCAATCCTTTTTCCACCTTCTTCACAACAGAGTCCCAAAATGCTATAAATAAAAGAGTCCCCCACAAAGGAAGACCTAAGTACTTTAAAGGTCAATCCCCCAATCCACACCCCAACATTTGTGTCGATTTATCAACTTTATCCTATGAAGAATTATGCCCACGCTCAAACATTTCTCTATGTTTACCTTTAATCAAGACACCATTCTAAATACCTTCATAATGAAACCCTCCACCAGATCCAATGTTTTTGCTCTCCTTACTAACCTACTCAATCCATCAGCCGCTAATATAAAGAGAAAATGGAATAAAGGATCACCCTGTCTAAACCTCTAGTTTCTCTGAATCTCCCCTAGGTTGTCGGTTAATCATAAAGCAAAAATTCATTGATTGAAGCATCCATTAATCCACCATCTCCATCCCCTACCAAATCCCTTCATCTTTGACACATGATTCAAGAAACTCCAATCCACATAATCATATGCCTTTTCAAAGTCAATTTTGAAGGCAATACCCTCTTGGCCGTTCAACCTACAATCCTTCACCACCTCATTAGCCACCAATACTACATCTAAAATTTGTCTTCTTTTAATAAAAGCACCCTAACTATTTGAAATTGTCTCACTAAGGACCTCCTTCAATCTCAATGAGCACACGTTTGCAATGATATTATAAAGGCTAGACACAAGGATAATCGGTCTAAAATCCTTTATTCGCATGGACTTGTCCTTTTTCAAAACAAGGCAAATAAATGTGGTAGCTTCAAAGCAAGCTATTTGATTTATATTAAATGGCTCCTAAAACAAACCATTGGCCCAGAACATTCAATAGTCATCAACCATAACCAAAACAGAGTCAATCAATCAATCAATCAAATTAAATGTTTTTCAGATGTAAAGATACCATTTTTCTAAAATTGGGTTTCAATCTAATGACATAGTGAGTCACTTGCTTTATTTACCATTTTTCTACCCAATCCACCCCTCCTACAGCCAGCTATCCAAATGGGTACCAATCAAATTGACCTCTCCCTAACAATAGTAACTTTATTTTTGCCTATATTTAAAGAGCAAAAAGGTTGAATTCCGGTAATACAATAGGCAATTATTCCCGTACAGTCATAGACACATATGGAATAAGTCATGCATAAAAAGCATCAACAACACCAAAAATTTTCCAGGCGCCATTATCCATAAACAAAAGAAACACAAATCCAAAGAATCACAACCTCTGTACCTACATCACAGATCATCATGAGTTAATTATCAGAGCAAAAAATAACCCTCACTCCAAAAAAAAAAAATCTCCTTACTTTTCCAGACGCTGTTCTCCAGAAACAAAAGAAAACACAACCCAAAGAATAACAACCCCTATAAACTTACATCATAGATCACAAATGAGGACAATTAATTAGTAGACCAAACTAATTAAATCCATAAAATAATAAATCATTGCTGGAATTTGATTAGAGATAGAGACCTGGAAAACAGCGGAGGAAGGGGTGACAAATGAGAAAGACGATTGAACCCCACCAGAGGAGTCACAAGAAAGGGCAGCCTGAACGAGCTTCCTCTGCAACTCGAAGGTAGACCCCGCCGAGGCCTCAAGGTCACCCTTCACCTGCTTCGCATTCCAGTCGTCTCCAGAACCCCTGCACACAAACGTGAACACTCCCATTCTCTCTCTCCTTTCTTGTGTGTGTATCTGTGTATGAGAAGGAAGAGCGGCTTTGGAGCGTTATATATGGGTTATTTCAGTTGGATTTGTAAGGGACTAGGAAAACCCTAGGGTTGCTTGGCTTGAGGGAGTGGAAGTACCAGTTTATCCCTTTACAAATTTCGTAATTCATATGTTGTCCTCCATACTAAATTTATCCTTATTTATGTATATTTATATCTATATCTATACTACTAATAAAATTAATTTAATATGAAAAACTTTTGATTCACTATTTTACCCTCATAAAAAATTAAAAATGTCTCTATATCCTTTCACACTTAATATCTAAATTATTATCATATCCTTATATATTTAAATGTCCAAATTACATCTAAGATCACTTTTAATTATATGTTCTCTATGTATAAATGTCAATTTTTATAAAAACATTAATTGATTATATTACTTTTAAAAAATATATGCATCATAATAAGTTTTAACATAATATTCAAAAAAAATTTCAAAAATTCCATCAATATAATAATATTCACCTTATTTATAAAGATAATATTATGATTACTTATTTATATTTTATTTTGCATCAAATTATTTAACCCTATCATTTTATACACCTAATAAAAGTAACTTAATATGAAAAAATTTTGATTCACTATTTTACCCTCATAAAAAATTAAAAATGTCACTCTGTCATTTTATAGTTAATATCTAAATTACTATCATATCCTTATATATTTAAATATCCAAATTACATCTAAGATCACTTTTAATTATATGTTCTCTATGTATAAATGTCAATTTTTATAAAAAAATTTAATTGATTATATTACTCTTAAAAAATATATGCATCATTATAAGTTTTAACATAATATTCAAAAAAAAATTCAAAAATCCATCAATATAATAATATTCACCTTATTTATCAAGATAATATTATGATTACTTATTTATATTTTATTTTTCATCAAAATATTTAACCCTATATTTTTTAAGATAAAAAATAATGTATATATAGTTTTACATAATTTTTTTGTCGCAATAAATTTTTCAGACCGTGTTAAGATTTTATGTAAAAAGCTTGACTTTTTTCTTAAATTTTAATATATTTTATAATATATATTATAGCATTGTATATTAAATTTTATCCCAATTGATTTAGACAATCCTAAATACAATAAGGTTCCAATATGATTGGTATATTGATAGTTATTTTTATTTTATTTAATGATTTATAAGTGTAATTTTAATCAAATTAATTTTTTAATTATCTATTCTGTATTTATAAATGTCAATTTTTATGAAATTTTTGATTAATTATATTACTCTTAAAAAACATATGCATTATTATAAGTTTTAACAAAATATTCAAAAAAAACCTTCAAAAACTCTATCAATATAATATTACTCAACTCATTTATAGAGATAATATTATGACAACATATGTATATTTTATTTTTTATATGATTTTTTAGTCACAGTAAACTTTTTAAATTATGTTAACATTTTATGTGAAAACTTGAATTTTTTTAAAAATTTTAATATGTTTTATAATATATATTCTAACATTATATATTAAATTTTATCTCAATTGACCTAACTAATCCTAAATATATTAAAGTTCCAATACGATTGGTATATTGATAATTATTTTTATTTTATTCAATGATTTATAAGTGGAATCTTAATCAAATTAATTTTAAAAATTTAATTTTCAAACATCACTAAAAAATCACTTTTAATTACAAAATTATAGAAACAAAATAGAACGTTAATTATTTCTTTTATTTTTTTATTGTTTTTTTTAAAGTTAGAAGAACAAATCTTAAAAATATACAAAGTTTTTAAAAATTCTATAATGTAACATGAGAGATAAAAAAATAAGTTTGGTAAACTTAAGATGATATTTAATTTAAGTACATATAACAAATATTTATTTATTAATTTTTTTTGAAAAAATTATTTACGTGCAACGCACGTGATGCATTACTAGTAAATTAAAAAGTTTATGATAATCAATGGGTGAGACATGACGTAAGTCGGGTTGTAGTATATATCTACATAAACATAAACATTCAGTAAAACCTATTATTTACGGTGTTTAAATTTGTTCTCATCATTAGATTTTTTTTCTATGTGGTGTTTAAGTTTATATCGATTATTCTTTCAAGTTTAGTGATTATCATCGTGACTTGAGCTAAGACTCTTAAAGAGTGTGTGAATGAATTGAACATGAGACCCTAAATTACCGAAAATTAGATTCAACCAATAAACCACTTCTATGGGTTTCTCATGAGTGATTCATTTGTGGTTGCAGGTATATAGGGTTTTGCTTTGTAGGGGTAACTCTAATGTTGTCCTACCTTAGAGAGGTTACTCACCATAAAAAAAAAAAAAAAATTCTCATGATAGTGTGACATCATATGCAAAATGTTATGCTTCTCCTGATATAATAGAGTCATTACAAATTTTTTCTTTAGGCTTAGAATAGACAATATAGAAAATTTGATTGGAAAAACTACATAGACAAAGTTGTAGATGAACTAATTATTGTTTATGCCTAAAGGCATTATGTTACTCGTAAAAAATTACAAATATTTGTTTACAACTAGGTATGGCAGTGGACTGAAGCGGGGGTGGGGGTTGTAATCTCCATCCCTGTACCACTTTAAAAAACTTTATCCATCCCCGTTAACAGGTATAGTTTTCATCCACATCCCCTGTGACGCCCCTAAAATTGGGGATCTCGTTGACCATCCGTCAACCCGCAAAAATACCCGTGAATGTCGCATGGCTCGACATAACGTCTATCACATTCTTGTAATCGGGATCATAGCTTACACGTATAACTCGTGTTTCTTTAATCATTTGATTCAACAGAGGTCCAATAAGCCTCAACATACCTCTTTTAATGTCCATTTATATCATTGAAACTAAAGAGAACAAAGTTCAAAAGGTTAGCAAAACAATTTTGGATTTTTCAGGTTTTTGAAAGAGTTACCGGTAGGTGTTTGTTATAACTACCAGTAGAAATTCTACCTGTGAGCTACCGGTAGCTTCCTTCTACTGGACAGGTACTACCTCTTAGCTACCGGTAGTTATTGTTTGTTGTACAGGTACTACCTATTGGCTACTAGTAGTTATTGCCTACTGTACAGGTACTACCTGTTGGCTACCGGTAGGTTTTGTCTAGAATTTCATATTTCATCGGTTTTTCATTTCCAATTCAATCAAAACCTTTCCAAATCCATCCCAAACATGTATAAAGATATTTTCTACATTATACATGATTTATACAAGTCTATTACAACCCATTCCATACAATTTACATGCCAAAATAGAATTAAACCAAAAGTTTTACATAAAACTCGGTTCAAGAGCCACAACCCAGTTCTTCTTCACCTTAGAGGCCTCGAATGTGTGTCATCCACCGGAATATGCCCTTTACCTGAAATGTTTCCTGTATAGGGTGAGCCAACGCTCAGTAGAATACTTCCTACAAGGGCTACTCCCCACCTAAGTGCATATGAATGTATACATGCAACAACACTCAACCAATATCCATTTCAATGCAAGAATATTCAATTCATGTTAGAACCTATCATGTCATGCCATGAAATGAGATGAGACTCACTCATGCACATCAACCCAAGCCTCCACCAGCTCTCTCCACACATACAATGCAATTGTAAAAATTCTTGTCATTGATGAAATACATCCAATGATCATCTTTGAAGATAAAAACTAAGTGTTTATAACACCAATTCATTTTGGATGTTTTCCATCAAACGAATCATTTATCCAACAAAAACCATGTGTCTTTATTTGGGTAGTGGACTTTTGATGTTGCACCGTCGGTTCCACACACCGATACACTTTTTTGGACTTACACTGTCGAAAGTGTATAAACCAATAGCCGAGTCTTGCACCCAAGGGGGAATCTATCTCTTCTTGCTATACCCGACACAAGTTTTTCCATGTGTGCAATCGTGCGACTCAGTAGGATATTCAACCCCACTTTCCTGAGCCCACCCATCAAAATACCAAATGTGGTGATTGATCCAACCATGCACTCACACACTCATACTTATGGCATGGATGCATTCTCCCGTGCAAATGCAATGTGATGCACCATTGTAATACCAATGTCATGCTCAAATATAATGTATGTGAAATGAACTATTTAACCAATCTCAATACACAACATGACAATTAATATCAATTACATATAATCACCACTAATCAACATGAAGTTAGCATATTGACAACATATCTTTACTCATGTTATCTCAACAAAATTCATGGCATGTTATACAAACTCATACCATAACAACTAAATTCCTCATAGGCATTTGGCTAGACACCTCCAAAACAAATAATTCATGTTATCACATAAATTAATCAAAGTCATTCACAAGGTACAATGACAACATTTATCAAATTACCACAATTTCACAAATGAATCCCCTATACCGAAAGTAACTAGGAAACCTAGGTTAATTTATTCCCCTTACCCATTTCATATGACATCTAGGTAAGGAAATAAACCAAGGTAGGAGAAACCCTACCTCTTGGAGAGTGAGATGAAGATAGAAAGTTTCTAGGCACCTCCTTAACCCCAAAACCTTTGATTTCCCAAATCTCCCCTTTTGGATCTTCGGTGAAATCCCTCGTTCTTGGTACGTACGCGTAGCCCTCGTTCTTGGTACGTTCTTGTACACTAACGGGCTTCTTGGATCGAGAGAGAAAGCTTGAAATTTCTATTTTCTGTCTTTTCTCTCTTCTCCAACGTGTGTTGTGCTAAACAAGGGTGAGAATATCTAATTTTTCAGTTATTTAGCCCTATTTATACTTTTAATTGCGCGGTCCACATTGTACCGCTCGTTTATACTTTCGGGTTCGTTTTTAACCCGAAACGACTTAATTAAATTTTAGTTTTTTTTTAAATTAATTTTATTTGAAATTTTATTCAATTATAAGAAAATTTTATAATTTTTATTTTT